TGGGACGAAACCAGAGCAAACCCACGCAGACACAGGGAGCATGTGCAAACTCCACACAGACAGTCACCTAAGGGTGGAATCGAACCTGGGTCCCTGGCGTTGTGAGGCAGCAGTGCTAACCACTGAGTCACCATGCCATGGAACCCGTTAATTGATTTTGTTGGGAGCCAAGTTATTGTGAATTCCGTGAAAGGGAATGACCAGGGTGCTGTAAAGATTTACGGAAGGGGTCTTCAGTTCTAGGGATCTTCAGAAATTTTAAGGAACAATATCTTAAGGACTGATGCGATTTTTTAAAATGGCTTTATTCCTTAATTATTTTAAATGTGTTAATATTTTAACACGTCTTTAATTAGTCAGATTTTTGTAATTGTGTATTTTTTCACTTAATTATTCATGTGATTTTTTTAATTAAACAAGCAGTGTGCCTGTGATAACTTTCTAAATGGAGAACAACATTGAAATGGAATTGAATGAGGCTCGCTGCAGGTAGCTGACCAATTTTTTTCTCCCTTGATCTGCTACCTTCCATTTCCAATGTTCTTTCTTAGTCCACAGATGTATCTAGATGGCTTGGCTTGGGCAATTTGTCGGGTTGGCTCACTTGGTAGGACCCTCGTTTCTGACGTCTATGGTTCAGGATGGTGATAAAGTATCAGAACCAGAACAGACAAGTCAGCATGGAGCGAATCTGACCGTGTTATATAGCGCTCATCCACATGATGAGTGCAGCAGTAATGCCCTGGCAAATGCCTCAAATACGTCAAGATTGAGTCAACACACAGATGGAAGAGTTAGTGCCGGTGAAACACTAAAACGTACATAAACAAGAGGATGCACAACAGTGACAGAAAGCACAAACCATCAAGATCACAGGCTTACAGGCAATAAGAAATAGGAGTAGGCCATTCAGCCCCTCAAACATGCCCCACTATTCAAAAAAGGTCATGATTGATTTACCCTAAAACGCAAACCCTATTTCATGTCAGCGCATCCTTGCCATCTCCTCCTCAAGGCTTTTTATCTATCCATCTGACCAAAGTGCGTAACCTCTCACTTTCCCACATCGTATTCCATCTGCCACTTGTTTGCCCACTCTCCCAGCTCATCTGCAGCCTCTCTGCTTCCTCACACTACCAGTCCCTCACCTTTACCAGTCTGTGTGTCGTCTGCAGACATTTGGACAGTTACGTGAGTAGGAAAGGTTTAGAGGGATATGGGCCAAACACAGGCAAATGGGACAAGTTTAGTTTGGGAAATTTAGTTTGCATGGACATGTCAGACTGAAGGGTTCGTTTCCATGCTGTATGACTCTTTAGTACCTACCTCTTGTTTAAATACATCCAGTGATCTAGTCTCCACTGGTCTTTGGAATAAAGAATTCCACACATTCACTAACCTCAGAGGAAATTCCTTTGCAACTTTGTTTTAGATAACAGCTCCAGAATAAGAGGAACAATATGGCCGAGTTCAAGAATCCCTCAATGGTGGAAACATCTTCCCAACATTACCCTGACAAGAATCTTGCCCCTCAGAATCTTGCATGCTCCAATAAAATCACCCCTTATTTTACTAAATTCTATTAAAACGAAGGCCTGACATGTTTAGCTGTTCTTAATAAGTCAATCCCTTCACCCCAGGAATTAGCCTGGTAAATCTCTTTCGAACTGCCTCCAATGCCAGTATATCCTTTCCTAAAGAGAGACCAAAACTACACACAGTACACCATGGGCAGCCTCGTTAAAACCCTGTATAGCTGTATTACAACTTCCCTATTCTTAAACTCCAACCTCCTAGCAATAAAGGCCAGAATTCCATTTGCTGCCTTAGATTCTTGCTGCGACAGCATAGTAAGGGCTGTAAGGGTGCCTAATCTGAACTGTATGCAAATTCTTTGTTGCCAAAGACATCGGAAATTTGGGAATTAAGACAAGATATTCAGCATATTTGGGCATCAGTGCTTCATTCAAATGGAGATATGTTAATGACACAACAGCAGAATTCCTCCAACATAGTATTCAGATATAGCACAGTGTAGAGCTGGATGAACACAGCAGGCCAGGCAGCATCAGAGGAGCAGGAAAGCTGACGTCTCGGGTCTGGACCCTTCGACCTGAAACATCAACTTTCCTGGTCCTCTAATGCTGCTTGGCCGGCTGTGTTCCTCCAGCTCCACACCTTGTTATCTCAGACTCCAGCATCGGTAGTTCATACTATCTCCGAGATGGTATTCAGATTGATCTGTGGATTTGAAGATATAAAGGTCCATTTTAATTTTTTTTAGTAGCCTTTGTAGTATGATTTCAAATTTGTTGTATGTCATTTCAAATTTAAAGATTATTTCCCTGCTTTCCCCCACAGAATTGGTTTATACTGAATTTGAGGCCCTGAAATCAAATCTGATCCAGTTGACACTCACCCAGTCCTAAGCTTCTTCCAATGATTTTAAATACATCTCTGAAGCTCAGCAATTCCTCTGGAGGTAGATTTTAGCAAGAATTCAAATGAAACAAAGAGAACATTAAATAGTGACCCAAACTTTGACTTTCAGACATAAATGTGAGAACTTAGAATCAATATTGTTCATCCATGCTTCATTGAAGTTATAAAAAAATTTCACCTCCATCAACACATACAAATAACAAGTTTCATTTGGTAACACCAATTCAGTTGTTTCTTGATCATTAACTCAAAGCAGTCACATCAGAAAGAAATTCACACGCACTTTTCACTCTGGGCATCTTATTTTATTCACTGGATGTTTTCAGTGCAGGCCAGCACTTATTGCCCAGAGGGCAGTTAAGAGTCAAGCACATTGCTGTGGGTCTGAAGTCACATGTAGGCCAGGACAGCTAAGGACAGATTTCACTCAGAGGGGCATTAATGAACCAGATGGAATTTTATGGCATGGTTATAGGGTCATACAACATGGAAACAGACCCTTCGGTCCAACTGGTCCAAGCCGACCCTGTAACCAAACTAAACTAGTCCCATCTGCCTGCGCTTGGCCCATATCCCTCCAAACAGTTCCTCTTCACGACTTTATCCAAATGTCTTTTAAACATTGTACCTGTACTTGCAACCACCACTTTCTCTGGCAGTTCATTCCACACATGAACCACCAGAAGTTGCCCCTCATGTTCGTTTTAAACCTTTCTCCATAAAAATACGGCCCCAAGCTTTGAATTGCCCCACCCTAGGGAAAAGGCGCATCATTCACCTTATCTATGCCCCTCTATAAGGTGATCCCTCAACCTCCTATGCTCCCGTGGAAAAGGTCCCAGCCTTTCCAGTTCATTTTCATATCTCAAACCCCCTTTCCCAGCAACATCCTAGAAAATCTTTTCTGAACCCTCTCCAGTTTAATAATATCCTTCCTATTATACAGTGTAACACACAATACTTAAGAGGCCTCATTAACATCCTGTACAATCGCAATATGATATCCCTACTCTCCTAATCCAATTGAATTAACCCACTGCCCATCTGCCATGATGGGGTTTGAACCCATGTACCCAAACATTAGCCAGTGACATTGCCAATGGCACCAACACCAGCTCACCCTATCATTGCATTTTGTTGTGACTGGTTTAGATATTGCACTGTCTTCACAAGGGAAGAACACTGCTGTCACTTCGTGTCAACTGCATAGTCAATAGCGTACAATGCTTCAAATGGGTAAAAAAAAATCATTAAAAAAAATCTCTCTAAAGATATTGGTTTACTTGGCAAGGCCACGTTTATTGCTCATCCATATCGGTCAGAGAATGTGGTGGGTAATTTTGTGAATATTATCAGTCTGTGCTGTGGAGAACTATCAATGGGAAACTCCAGGATTCTGATCCAATAGTGAATGATACATACCTAAGGCGACATGATACATAAATTGGAGGAACTTGGGAGATGATGAACACTTTTTCAATGTTTTGCTGGTTGAACAAGGACCACACTAAACATGCCCCTAATCAAAAATCAGTTGAAAACCATGACTCATCCAAATGGTCTTGGCTCCTTTTGTCTTTTGCAGAGTTGCAAAATTTATACGGAAAACATCTAGTCCAATGGACACTATTTTGGAATAAAACATTTGTTACTTTTTTCCATAACTATTGGCATCACTTTGTGCTAGGTGTATTTAAAAAAAATCTCTCATGGGATATGGGCATTACTGGTTAGGCCAGCATTCGTTGCCTATCCTTAACTGTCCTGGAGGAGGTGGTGGTGAGCTGCCTTGATCCAGTGCATTCCTGGGGTATTGGAACATCCATAACACTTATGGGCAGCACGGTGGCTCAGTGGTTAGCACTGCTGCCTCACAGCGCCAGGAACCCGGGTTCAATTCCACCCTCGGGCGACTGTCTGTGCAAACTCCACATATTCTCCCTGTGTCTGTGCGGGTTTCCTCTGGGTGCTCCGGTTTCCTTCCACAGTCCAAAGATGTGCAGGTTAGGTGGATTGGCCGTGCTAAATTGCCCATAGTGTTCAGGGATGTGTAGATTAGAGGGATGGGTCTGGGTGGGATGCTCTGAGGGTCGGTGTGGACTTGTTGGGCCGAAGGGCCTGTTTCCACACCGTAGGGATTCGAGAATGACTGTTAGAGGGGGGAGTTCCAGGATTTTGACCTAGTGGCAATGAAGGAACAGCAATATAGTCCCAAGTCAGGATGTAATCAAATCTAATTCAGTTTAGCTCTTTCCACCGATTGGAAGTCTTCACAAATGGATCATTTTCTTCCCACAGCTGTTTGAGCCAGTTTAGTCAATCATAGCTTTCAAATCAATTCTTACTAAAGTTTTACCAAGAACTTCATCTTTTCAATTTTACCTCTTTCTCATTGCCTCATGACGAGCAGTCTCTTCCACATGTGCCAAGGGATTACTTTTCAGGCGAGAACTCCAGCAAAGAAAAAGATAAGCAGTTAATTTCAAATTTTTAAAAGTTAATTTCAAACATTTTCTAAGATTTAAACCAAAGTACAAAATTAGAACAAGGCTAAGAGATTAGTGCAATTTATTAAATCAGTTTATTTAACAAGGCTACCAGGATCACATCAGTATTATAATAGACCTTTTTTCTGTGTTTCACATTATTTAATAAAATGGATTTTCACTCCCAAATAAATACAATATACTAAAATCATAGCCCCAGTTCCTTTGAATTAGATTAAAGTTATGATATACACTATGAGGAACAGCTCAAAATGCTGCCTACCTCTTTTCTAATGAATTTACAAACTCTTACACAAGTACGCCATATACAGAATTGTTTGCACCTTGCATTGCAAGGCTGTACATCGGTTTTTGTCTTTACTTTTTTTTCTATTTACACAGTATGGCAACTCAGAACAGAACTGCATTCCACAATACAATCACATGAAACACCATGTTTCCTCTGTATGTATCATATCACTCATTGGAGGTAGAAGAAAGTCAGCCCCACCTCCACAAAACCTGGCAAGGGGAAAGGGGGCTTGCTCCCACAGTAACAATTAGAACATAAAATAATACCGCATCAGTTATTCTGACCGTTGTGCTCCGCAAAGTTTAAAAGATTGAAAAAGCAAAACAAATCAGGCAAAATGCAATCAAAGTACCAACATTTGGAATTGTGACTAAGGGAAAGCTTATTGAAGGGGTTTGTTAGATGCTGTAAATTCCTAAGATATTCAGACACAATTGAACCACAGTCGTTTCAAGGGACCAACTGAAATCTGTCATAGGGTCACATTTTACAAACTGGGGAATGCACGTTACTTCGAGATCAGTGAAACAGCATGCAGAAATCATGACTTTTAAAATTCAGGCTAGATAATTTTCAGGTCGAACCCAAATAACTTCAGCAGCTCAATGACAAATGAAATGATGGGGGGAGAGAATGTCCAGGTGGAGGCAAAGACAGAATACGGTAGGAATCAGAAACAGAAAGGATATGATCACATTAGCGATAGTATTCTATAGGCCTCTAATTCATGAAAGACAAATTGCAGGGAAATCACAGACATATGAGAGAACTATAAAATGGCAATAATGGGGTATTTAAAATTGCTGAAATATTGACTGAAATAATGTTTTAGTCAACACATAGAATTGAGGGGATCTGATACGTGCACAATACCCTTAAACACCGATACAAAGAGGATACTGACAAAATGTCAATAGCGGTAGATGAAAGGGGTAATTGTTGGGATGAAAATTGACAGGCGTAATTTACTGCAAAGGGTGGCTATTGCCAAGGCTGGATATGTTTTATGTCGGATGGCTTGCACCCCAGGTTGCAAAAGGGAAGCATAGATGGAAATAGTGGAAGGGCTCGTCATTATCTCCACAATCCACCAATACACAGGAAACGTGAAACTTGTTCACAATCTGACCTGTAAAAAGAATATTAGGAAAGCAAAGAGGGAGAAATAAGAACGTACTGGCAAATAAAAGCAAGGAAAACCCCAAAACATTTATAACTACATGAAGAGAAAGACGGAAACTAAGGAAACAGGTGTACTAATTCAATAACAGGGAAGTAACTTGTATGTTGAGGAGCGAGATATCAGCATGGTTTTTAAAGGATGCTTTCCTTCTGTTTTCATAAAAGGTTCAAAGTAGACTTCATAATCTTGTAGATAAAGGAGAAGGCTGAAGTATTTGATGGGATAAACATTGAGGGGTGAAATAAAGATATTTAGCATGATGGAAAATGACTAAGTCACCTGCCCGATACAAGATAGATCTAAGATCACAGAGATATAATAGTGAAGGCTCTGACAATCCACACTGGGTACAGGTGTGGAAAACATGGTACATTGGTTTTCTGTTCATGAGCAGACTCTCATTCGAAAGGCAGAAGAACTGAAGGATGGAGTCAATCTTTGTGATCTTTACTTTTAAAATAATTTATTTACAAAGTTATATATTTTACACATACACCACCTAATCCACAAGCCAGTTTCAGTCCACATCCACAGGAGTACATGAACATCCAGTTAGTGGCATCACTTATATACAATGATACACAATTCATGTACAATTAACAGATGCGCCATGTTTTCTTACAGATGGTAAGATTATGAGGATGTGACATATTTACCTCTATGCAGAGAAGAGTACAGGCACACTTTTATATTCTGACCATCTACAGGTCAACTTCACACCCTCTCAATCTATCTACATTCATCTAACCATAACTTCACATTCTGACCATATACAGGTAAACACAACATTTTCACTTTTGACCATACACAGGTAAGCTCAAAAGCTTCACAATCTGTCCAGGTACAAGCAAACTTCACACCTTAAATGCACCAAGTGACCATGGCACATCTTCACAATCTGACCATATGAAGGTAAACTCAACACCTTTGCAATCTGTCCAGGTACAAGTAAATTTGACACCTTCACATTACTTTGCCCCATACACAGGTAGCCATAGCGCACTTTAACCTGACCACAAAAGGTAACCATGACCCATCTTCACATTCTGCCCATTTATAGGTAAAGAAATACCTTCACAATCTTCCCATATAGAGAGAAACTGACATATTTATGCAAGGGGCTGGAGATAATCACATAGCCTGATTTCCACTACAGATAGTGACAGAAGATTGGCAAGTGGCAAAATGTTAACACTCTTGGTCAAGAAAGGGTCTAGGACATGTTAGAAATGACCTGTCATAAGTTTCAGTGGTGGGTAAGGTTTTTGAAACAATAATCAGGGAAAAATGTAATAGGCACTTTGAGAAGTTTAAATTAAGTAAGGAGAGCAGCAGAAGTATCTTAACTAATAGACTGGTACAGCCTCGACACGAGTAGTGTATCCAATTCTGGGCAGCACGCTTTGGGAAGAATATGAAAGAAGATAAAGGATTAGGGAATAGATTTAATTACGTGGATCAATGGTTGAAGGACTTCACCTTGGACCAACAGAAGAGCAAGTTACTGAAAGTGTTCAAAATTACGAAGATACAGAAGAGATGCACAAAGATGCTGACAGAAACGGAGATTTTTAGTTTGAGGAAAGATTGGATAGATCGGGTTTGCTTCCTTTTGAACAGAGGAAGAAAAGTTAATTGAAGTGTATAAAATTGAGGTCCCCAAATAGATATGGTTTGTTTTTCACCTGTCACTGTAAGAACAACAATAGGCAGGTGTCATGGAATTAAAGATTTTAAATTAATGGATGGGAGGATCAAAGGGGTGCCAAAAGAAATTCTTTCACCTGGAGATTACAGGAGTCCAGAAATCACTGCTCAAAAACAGTGGTACAGGCATAAATCATCACTGCATTTTAAGAAATATTGAGTATGGCCTTGAGGTGCCATAACCTAAAAGGGCTATAGAATGAGGGGAGCGACTAGTAAAGCTGATCCTATTGAATGGCCTCTTTGTACTGTAATTATCAAATCACTGTAATACTAAGGTTTTGGACTGCAAAACCTATCCCCCAGTCTAAGACTCCCCGTGCAATGTGCTGCAGCTTCCCCCTCTTTCTGCACCTCCTGAAAACAAGAGTAAGAGGAAATTGCAGGACACCTTCCTTGAAGGCGCCAACACTTGCTGAGGTGATGTTTCAACAGGTACTGACAGTCCTCAGGACCTTGCCCAAATGTCTTATTCTTCACATAAAGGCCTAGGAGAAGAACATCAAAAGTCAACAGGGCCTCAGGGTCAAGCCAGTTCCTTTGGTTTACATGGTTGTAGTGGCTCTGCCTTTAAAAACTAGGCCATTTTCAGGGAGTTCTACAAATGCATTTCAAAACTCAAACTTGTTTTTTTTAAACAGCTTAAATAAACAGTTTTGTTTTTAACACATGATATATAAAATGGTGGGAAGTGTTACTTCAAGTATAATTTATTTTCACAATTCTGATTGGAGCAGAAATGTACTAAGTTGCCATACAGCTTTGAGTAATCTACAAAAGCAGTCAAGTCAAATGCTTACTAATCAGGACAATCCTATTATTATCATTTGAAAATCATTATAACCCATATCTTTGGGAAGGAGGAGATGAATTTACCAGAGTAGGATTTTAAAAATCCATAAGATAAATGATTATGTTTGTAAACTGTTTCAAAGCAGCTGTTAAAGGAACTACTTAGAATTATGGTAACCGTTTTGATGAGGCGTCATTAGAGGTCATGCTAGATTAACACTGGTACTTGGTACAACCATGGCTTCTCTAATCTCAAAAGTCCCTTGTGGTGTACCAATGTTGCACATTGACTCAATTAGCCTTTCAAAGCCTTAACTAAACAACTTTTTACAACGTTCTCCCACCCCCCAAAGAAATATCGCATTTCCTGTGCTTGACTGGATCAGATCTCTAGACGACCTCAATCTTCATTAACCCATTTTCAGCAAGTCTGTAGAAGAGGGGAACGCAGTTGATAAAGGTCAGGGTTGAGCTTGGTAGGGCCTGTGGGTTTTGGATTTCTTCGGTAAGTTCTATGATCTTTTTTGTAGTGTAGTCTTCAGAGGGTAAGCCTGATTTTGTAACAAAGCCTCTGCTAGAAGAGCGGGAATCAGGTGAAGAGCTGGAGGACTCAGTATCATCTGCTAAGGGTATCTCTTCTAGATCTGGGGAGGAAGAAAAAAAACGTAGAATGTCATTGCTGAATTTCTCAGGCTGCAGCTGAAGGGTTTTGGCTCAGCCTGGAGCTCAAACCCAGTTGAGAAACAATGGTTTGAAATACTCTACTTCTCCATTTGAGAAAAATCCATCATTTTGCAACTGAATCTGAATCAAAATGCTACAGTGTGGAGAAAAATACAGTCCTTTATCCCTCAGACTTCTAACAGACCATAACAGTGCATGTGAATGAGTTTAGATTGTGCCCACGTTTTCCGTCCTCTCACTATTGAGGCAAGACAGTTTTGCTTAAAACTGTGCATTTTGCATTTTCCCATAAGTCATCCCTAACCAACAGCTTGTGCATCCCCTATTGGGTGGAAAAATAAAACTGGAACTGACCAAGGAACACGTTACCCATGTGCCTTCTCTCCCTCTAACCTACAGCCAGCTCAGAACGTGCAAACTGGAAGCATCACATTTTTTGCTTCTCATCAAACCAAAATGGCTAAAGGCAATGAGGAAGGCCAAGTTTATTTTCCCAACTTGTCACAACATTTGGGTGTCACTGGCTAAGTCAGCATGTACTTCCTACTTCAAGTCATCCTCAAGGAGGCGATGATGAGCTGCTTTCATAGGCTGTACATCTTTAAAATGTGGAATTATAATTGGGAAGAATTTATCAGCTGGATGTTTTGACAGCGTTTGGGGCAAATGAGCATCACTGAACTTCTCAAGGCAGCAGTGCTGATTCTGCATTGAAGTGCTAGAAGCATAAATAAACCTTCATTCTCCCAGACAAAACTGATGGAAGCACAGATTGGTTCAGGAAATCCAAAGTAGTGGAGCCAAGCATTGTGGGGAAACTCCGAAACCTCACTATAAAGTATTTATTTTTAAGGTTTTAAACATTTTTACTAAAACACCTGGCAATTTTCCTGCTCCAATGTTGTCATACTATCAATTTTTTTGTAAATGCTCTTCCTAAGACTTTTGAAACAGACCTTGCTATGTATTTGGTGCAGTGGCTGATACCTCCAAGTTTTCACCCTTCCATACCCCTAAACTGCTCCAGCCCGAGAACGCTTTGAGATCTCTGCACTTGACCAACTCAAGCCTCAAGTGCAAACGCTGTTTTAACTGATGCCCCATTAGTGGTTGTGCCTTTAAAATGCTGGGCCTGGAGCTCTGCAATTCATGTTAACTACTTCACTTCTTCCTGCTCCTTTAAGTTGATCTAATGTCCGAGTACACTTTTCGGTCATGGGCCCTTCTATCTTAGGTGGTGAAGCACTGAGAACATTTTATGTTAAAGGCACCATATGAATGAATCATGGCTGACTGCACCCCAATTCCTTTCATCAGCTTGCCCAAGACAGTTGTGTTCAGGTGCCGTGGTTTGAATGTGGGGCTAGTGGAGGACACCAGTAGACCAGGAAATTCACTGCAGGTCCAGGGAGAACACAGTGGAGGATTTTCAGCATTCACCCAAGTACCTGCTACAGGCAGCGGAGCAGATGAAACTGAAAAGGCACTGCCACGGTGCTGCTCAGATCAAGCACATTAGCGCTGGCGCGTAGCTTGAATCCACTGATCCCAGGCACAAAGTTGCTACCAAAAAAGCTAAGCCGACAAATGTACCGTTAAAGATAGCACTGCCCAAGGTACACCCTTTAGCCAATGAGGACAAATGGAGAGAGAAAACAAAAAGGACACAGATACCTTGCTGCAGAGAACTTTTGTTAAATTGACACAAACCTTCAATGCTTGATACCAGATCTTCTTCCAGCACATCCTGTCGCATTTCAGATGTTAATGGGATCTTAGACTGTTTGATGAAACGAACATATCTATCATACCATTTCTTTCTCTCAGCCGCCAATTCCAACGAAAGCTCCTGCAATTCTCCTAACTTTTTCTGCAAAGATAATAACGGCTCAACTTTAAAATATTATAAACTACTAGACTCTCTTTTCTGCTTTCTTTTTGAAAATTCAGACAGATAATAAACGCAGATATAGCAAAGCATGGAGCTGCAGGAACACAGCAGCACCAGGCAGCATCAGAGGAACAGGAAAGCTGACATTTTCTGAAGGGTTCCGAACCCAAACGTCAACTTTCCTGCTCCTCTGATCCTACCTGACCTGCTGTGTTCCTCCACACTTTGTTATCTCGGACTTCAGCATCTGCAGTTCTTGTTATCTCAGATAATAAATGCAGCAGCGTTGCAAGGAAAACAGCTCAAATATATTATCCCTCAAATATATTATCCAGAGCCTTAAGAGTTTGTCTCCTCTACATTTAACCACTCAATTGAACAGGCATATCATCAATTCATTGTAGGTTTGCTGCAGAGTTAAAACTCAGTACTCAATGTTAAAGCTGAGTTCCATGATATTGATTACCTTAACTATCACTTATGAGTTAACTGTGAAAGTTCTGCACAGAAAACTATCACAGCACCCCAACTTTGTCGCACTACTTCAAATTTACCTGCACCACACCCAAAGTGCAACAGCGATCTGACAACTGGAGGCTTCTTGTGAGCTACTGTCTGAATGAACAAAGTGGGCAGAACACACCAGAGAAGCTGCCTGAGATACTACATAACCGAGCTCAGATTTATAAAGTACAAAAGGCTACAATACAATTCTGGTCATTTGTGCCCGTACATTTCTCAAATGGGACGCAAGATCCAACTTTCTCCTTGACTGCTCCCAGTCAGTTGATTTTAAAGCAATTACTGAAACACAATCCATTAAATGCTCTAAAGGTTCAAGTTAGGTGGTGCACAAACAACTGGAGTGATCTTAAACCAGTGGCTCTCAAAACATTCAGCACCAAGTCTCAGCCATAGCTGACAGCAATTGAAGGCACTGAAAGCTCACAGCAGCTCTGTGTGCACCTTACCCACTGAATCGGAGCATAAATCCTGTCTCCAGCTAACCAGTCTGCATCCATGCTTCTTTTTTTTGGGGTGGGGCGTAGTGTAAGAGGTATGTACAAACTAACCTTTCAGATGGAGTCTAAAAATATTTATACTTCCATGTTTGGGCAAAATGAGGAAAAGTTTTTTCACACAGCGAGTAGTTAGAGTATGGAATGCAATGCCTGAAAACATAGAGGCGGCAAGCTCGATTTGAGGCATTCAAGACAGCATCGGATGATTATTTGAATAAATATCAAATCCAACGACATGGAGTAAAAGCAGGAGATTGCCATTAACAATGCTCTTTTAATGAGTCTGTGCATAAACAACAGGCTGAAATGCCTCCTCATGCGCCATAACACTGCTGTGATTCTGTTAACGTTTGGCTGACCAAACATGTAGCAATCAAACAGACAGCACCTTGATCAATATCCATTTTTAAAACCGACCACAAGGAGTACAACAACAGGTCAAATACATCAACTTGGAACTACCCTGTTTTGTAATGAGTATAAAGACACCACCTTATTTATTCAGGACATCTGGGAGTGAGCTGAATTAATCTGATCAAATTGCTGAAGCAACTTTTGACAACAATCAGGTGTCCACTCACACAAATTCAGAACCCTCACAATACTGGGCCTAGCAAGTCCTTGTTTTATGATACAAGGACAGAAGTTGCTGGAAAACTTCAGCAGGTCTGGTGGGTCAGGGTTGAAGCAGTCCTGAAGAAAGGTCACTGGATCTGGAAACATTAACTTTGCCTTCTCTCTATAGATGCTGCCGAACCTGTTGAGTTTTTTCCAGCAATTTTTGTTTTTGCAGCATCCACAATTCTTTGGCTTTTTTGCCTTGTGATCATGCCATCCCCACCACAGATTCTAAAGCAGCACGGAGGACTTTCCGAGAGAGTGCTGCACCTTTTCAGCATTGAAGGGACCAAACTCACCCTCAACTTCTCCTTATCCTGTGCCAGCTTGCAGATGTACTCCTCTTTCACCATGTGCCTGTGTTTGAGTATAGCTCTCTGTTTTTGGTAAAGTGCAATGTATTCACCTATGAACAAAAAGAAAAAATGAGAAAGAGAAATTACCCGATTTACAGGAAAGAGGAGTTAAATTCCATTACAATTGCAATCCTTTTCAGAGCAGGAAAAGCTGTGCAAACAACAGGGCATGGAAAGGATGATAGGTTAAAAAATATCTGAAGGACTGTGGAGGTGATCAGTCAATGAATCTAAATGGTTTGCTCTTTAAGGGATGACACAGGAACTGCAGAGCCAATGCTCTTTCTGTACTGTATCATTCCATGGTGTCAAAATGATAACATTATGCAGACTAAAAATCTAAGCCATAGATTTTGTTTAAAAATGTCAACAAACCCTAAGAGGGCAGCAATTGTGTTCCAAGAATCAGAGTGGATTCGCAGAATTAACCGTTCCTCTCTCCCCACAGATGCTGCCCAACCTGCTGAGTTTCTCCAGCACTGCGTTAAGATTTCACAGCCTTCCATTATGTCGTCACTACCTCGGCCCACTGCCCAGCGATTTGCCCCACGTTAAACGTTGTTGCTAAGCACTTGCAAAATCACCTCTCTACAAGATGAGCCAAAGAGACGCTGACCATTCTTTGTAAAATAGCAAACCTGCTAGATTTATAACTCCCAATCCATTTCGACACCCATTCTCTGTGGCTGTGACCAGCTATCAGACAGTATTCAGGTGAAAAGTAACCAGGGCACTGAAAACCAAAAGGCCTCTCTGGAGCTAAATATTGGAGTTTTTATCTAATTGATGCATTTTGACAAAAGGAGGTTGGTTGTCCTCCAAGGACTTGCACCATTTGCATTCATATGTAAAATTTAGGGATAAGGTGCGGCAGACTTCACAATGCAAATTTAGAAACACTTTAAAGAGTACATCCCTCAGTGATGTAGTCAGTGTTTTTTCTTATTCATGGGATGAGGGCATTGCTGGCTGGGCCAGCATCCCTAATTGCCCAGAGAGCAATTGAGAGTCAACCTTATTGCTGTGGGTCTGGAGTCACATGTGGGCCAGACCAAGGAAGGACATTAGTGAACCAGATGGGTTTTTCCAACAATGGATTCATGGTCATGACTGGACTCTTAATTCCAGACATAATTGAATTCAAATTCCACCATCTGCCAAAATGGGATTTGAACTTGGGTCCTCAGAACATGACCTGGGTCTCTGGATGAATAGTCTAGCAATAATGCCACTAGGCCAGCATCTCACCTTGCTGGATTTAGCAATGTGGGGAGGGAGAGAGAGGGAGAAGACAAGTCTAGAATTTCAGTTCAGTTGTAACAGAGTGATTGCTGTTCTAGCTCTTCCAGAAAAGAGATGGTGTGCAGGCAGAGGTGGGTGCTCCAAAATGAGTACAAACCTTTTATTTCAAATTGATAAACAAAAGTGTAAAAAGTGAATAGAATTTCTCATTAAACATCTATAACTTTAACAACAATCTCAGTGTTTGGGGTCAGAAAATGCAACTTATTGTCAGGAACTATACAAAGTTTTCTTTCTAATAAGGTCACATACCTATTGTATCTGTCTCCCCAGACAGCTGGGTACAGTAATGCTCCAGTTGCTCCAATTTCTTCTTAAGATCAACCTTCTCCTCTAACAGGTTTGCTAATTGAACCTTTTTGACAGAAAATGAAGTGGCATTAAATGTGATCTGGCAAAATCAAAGAGACCAAGACACCAATAACCTCTATTTTTATAGATGTTGGCTTTTAAAATTCTTTGTTCAATTCCTGCCATGGATTCGTTCCAGTCCATCTCTGAAAACCAAGACCTAGAATACTGAAAGATTTCTTCTATTCTGCTCTTCTATTCTGCTCTTCTATTCTGCTCTTCTAT